TGATGAGTGCCTCAGGCGTGACCAGGGATCTGAGAGCTGGGTGGGTCGAGCTGGGTGGCAGCGACTCTAGCCATATTTGGGGTGGGTGATGAGTGCCTCAGGCGAGACCAGGGATCTGAGAGCTGGGTGGGTCGAGCTGGGTGGCAGCGACTCTAGCCATATTGGGGCACTGTGGTGAACGTTAGTTTGATTACGCCGTCACCTTTCTTGCGTGGTATACATTTTGGGTATACAATGAGGAAGGAGATTTGTGTAAACATGACCTTAGTGGGCAATTACAATCACACAAGATGTGGACGAGCTGGTACCTGTGCTCATGGCTCGAAAGCACATGGATTAATGGCGGCATACTTTGATGACGCGTCTTGAAAGGGCTCGGAGAGTTCCATATATCAGTTGTGGTTGCATTACAATCTAGGTCTCCCATTGGCATTGCAAGCGGTGAAATAGCCATGATTTATATCATCTCAGAAACAATGCACTGCTACGATACAAGGGAAGGTAATTTGCTCTTACGTTTCCTCATAAATGTCAATTCACCATTGCAATTCGTGCCGTTTAAGATTGCAGTAACACATGAATGACGTGAATGACGTGTATTTTCCTCGTTCTTCCGAGGAGCGTGCCAGTGCTGTTGCCCTGACCACGTTTTCCTGCTGCTACACTGCACAGTAGTGGCACATCCAGCCCCGCTCAGTGCGGCCTTAGCGTGTCCGCCTCACGTCCCAGCATCCTGCTACCGCCCTGCGGTGAGAGGACAACGGCGCATGAACAAATGCACAGCTGCTGCTGACGGCTGCTGCTGCGGTCAGCGGGGTCCCGCCGCGCTAACAGCGGGGTCACGCCGCCCACTCAGTGCGGCCGTTCCCGGCCGACTGACCTTCGGCGCCCTCTGCGCCCCCTGCAGAGTGCAGAGTGGTTTTGATGGCGCGCTGCGCGGTGGGTCGTCGCCATAACTCGTGTCCCAGCGGCGGCAGAGCGCCACGGCCCTGGGCCACTGATGGGGGCCGCTTGACCCGGTCCTCCGTTGCCGCAACCCGAGGCCACTGATCGGAACCGCTTGACCCGGTCCTCCCGCGCCGCGACCCGGGGCCACTGAAGGGAGTCGCTTTACCTGGTCCGGGACCACTGATGGGAGCCGCTTGAACCGATCCTCCGGCGCCGCGGCCCGGGGCCGCTGCCGAAACACTACCACCGATGGCTGCACCGTGCTTCAAGGCACGAGATCGGCAGCGGTCTGACAGCGGGCACGACCCGGGCGGCTCACAGCCCCAGTGAGTGCAGAGCCGACCCAGAGCGAGGCCGTGTCCAGCTCCCAGTCAGCCGTCTCCGCCGCAGCCGGTCTGCCGCCGGCCCGCAACAGGACGTTTGGTGTCGCCACCCTGCCTATCGCGTCGGGAGCCTGACTGGCTGCGGTTGCCTCAGCGGCCGGCGGGCAGCCTGGGCGGGCCCGTCTTCGGGCCGCGGGGCTGGATCGGCCGGCCGGGCTCTTGGGTCGTCATGGGTCGGCGCGCGACGGGTTGTGAAACCGACAGCCAGCGGCCGTCGAGAAAGCCGTCAGGCCTGCCGGTGATCTGGCCGCCGGTGACGGCACCGCTGAGGAAGGAAAGGGAGGTCGGTAGACCGTGGGCTCTGGTGATAGGCGCCGAGCCGAAGCCTGCCGGTGACCGCACCCTGGCTTAGGACCTCCAGTCTCGCCCCGGAAGCCGCAGCGCCCGTGTATTGAGACATGTGTGGACTGCTATGTATTGCTCACTGCTCCGCACACTATCTAACCAAGCGGCTTGAAATGCTCTGTCAGCACGAACAACACCCGAACTGAGCAGGCAAACCTGACGCGAGAAACCCTCGGCTTCGCTTGAGCCATGTCCCCGCTTGCTCGCAGCACGAGAAGGTGCTATCGTCAGACGCGACAGCTGCCCGTCCGGAGCGGCGTCAGTGCCAGTTGGGCCGGTGTTCTCTTGAGGCCGCAGCTCTACGGACGTCAGGCGGGGGCGCCAGGCCGCCGATGCGCCCTGCCCCGCTCAATGACGGCGCCCCGACACCGGCTAGCCGGCCAGTGGACCGGGCCAAGGTGGCCCGGGGTGGCTCGCCCGGCCTCATCGGTATTCCGGTCTGCCGCGCGCTCCGGTGTCACCTTAGAGACGGGCTCAGGTGGCTGGGACGGCGAAAGCCGTCAGCGAAGCAGTCCTTCCCTGATATCAAGTAGCGTCTCAAGCGGGCGTCAGCCGCTGATGTGCGGTATCGACCAGCCTTCCCCCACTTGGACCACACTGGCTACGCCCCTGCGCCGATGGCCCTGCTCAGCTGAGATTGTAGCCCGGGCGTGCAGTGGCCGCCGCCTGTCGAAATCGGCACCAGATCTCTGCTCTTCGGCGCTGTTGCGTCATGTGAAGCGCCGCGGATCGCGCGGCGACCCCGGGAAACGGAGATTACCTCGAGATTGGTAATGGCCTGGAATAAGCAGCCGTTTGGAATCCAGACGTGACTAGATGTTATTAGACGGGCATGCGCAACGGTATCTATCATTTTTGTAGGTTTCAGAGAGTGTCGTGGAATCTTCTGGGTACACAATTGTTAGAGTTCATGCAACAGCTGGTTGACTCGACCAGAAGCCGAAAGCTTGCGCAGAGAAAGGGGTCAGGCTCCAGGCTAGAACGTATGAGCTGTACTTCCTGGTGATTGCAACATGTCCGCACTCACTGTCCATTCAACCCGGCCGGGTGATAAGAGCCGTGAAAGAAGTTGGTCTGATGCGGAAATCAGATCAGGAACAGGGAACGGAAGACGTTGGACAGCCTCGATTCGCTTCATAACGTAACTAATCATGTGGAGGCTATGTGGTTTAATGCCATTATTTGTCCATGAGCCGTCAGCCAGTACACAGCATATGTATATATCACACTGCACGACACCACGTGCATACTATGTGCATAGTATGTACAACGCTCTCTCATGGCGTTTGTCACAGCTCACAGACCGAGAGTAAAAGTCTCGCTCGTTCGTATACATCAAATCCGTTTCACCACGGCTGTTTTGCCTATCGGTTCTCGGACGTCACGCTCGACCAGCATAGCGATAGGCCCAGCTGCGCCTCTAAGGTAGCACTGGTCGGAGCTGGCCGCGCGGCTCGCTGCAGGCATGACGGGCCACGCGCCGCCGCTTTCCATCCGACGCGCCTGGGTCGAACGGGCCTTGTGAAACGTGACAGAGTTCAGTCGGGGGATCGCTGGCACGAAGCGCCATACATCTCGGAGCTGACGGCTGATGTGAACAGCCCGTATATGGCCACGCTCCGACCGCGACCCGTGCCGGTGCGCTGCTCGGAGACAGCCGAGGTCAGGTGGGCCCGCTGGTGTTGATCGCGCGGCATGGACGACGGACCCGAACTCTGGACCCGGACCCAGACCCGGGTCCCAGACTCGCCGCCCCGGATCCTGGGCAGTGAGAGACGAAACGGCCGGGTGTAAGGTGGGAGTGCCACCCGTCCCCTTCCCTCCCCCTTCGCCTTGCACGTATCAGGTGCCACGAGGCGCCGTTGATTGCTAGAGTATCGGACTCAGGCGGCAGTGGCCCTTCTTGTGGCGGCGCCTTAATGGACGATTTATGAGTACGATGGCGTCAAACTCGAACAGTGCGACAGATTTGCTCCCTGTCGTAATATTCGGTACGTGTGTTCTCGATTGTCATGACGTGTGAGCCATGCACCCTTCGAAAGATAGGGTGCTGCTGCTTTTTTTCGATTGGAACACATATCGTCCAATCCAGCACATTTGGGATACCATTGCGTTTCTTCAGATATCCTACATATCGGCTGATTGAGCCAGCTTTCTCAGCATCGACCTCCAATGTAACGGCATTTTTCTGTCTTGCGCGTTAACACTGGTCGAAAATTCTGACCCTCGCTGAGGGGCTGGGTGGGCTGCACTACAGATGACACCATCGCCCATTTGTTTGCACTGGCGCGGTGCCTTGTCCTTGTGGACGCCCTCTCCTCTCCCGAGGCGCCAGGCACGCATTTGACGCGGCCGCGCCCCGGCAGGAACTCGTCGCCGCCGCCGCCGCCGGCGCCGACAGAGTGCCATCCACTACTTTATGTGTGTATTTGCCAGGCTCGTCGCGGTGTTTGTGCGGGTCGTTTCGCAACGTCGTCCTTGAACTATCGTCGGGGCGGAGACGGCAGACGGCGGACGGTTCGGTGCCAGACTGATGGTGCGGACTGTTGCTGGTATCATGCCTGCTCGGTGCGTCGGGTGGCACCCCTCTCGACAGAACGGCGTCTGGCCCCGCTCACGCCCGCCCGGCCGCATTTCTCAGCGGCGGGAACTGATTACTGCCCAATAAACAGGGCGCCGCGCTGCCCGGTCTGTGCTGTCGTATGCGTATCGAGGTGGCGGCCCCGTGGAGATGCTTGAGACAGCTGCGGTAGGGCCCCGGCCGCTTTGTGAGTTTGTTCGGGGAAAGGAACGGATCGCTTATCATGACCCAGGGCCACCCGCGCCGGTGCGAGCTCGTTCGGCCTACGGTCTGTTTTGAGGCGGCTCAGTTGTCACCTCGTTTTCCGGAGCTCGTTGTGTTGAGGATCAGCCTGTCTCTGACACACGGGTGTCGATTTGTGGACAGGAACGGACCGCTTGTCATGGCCCAGGGCCACCCGCGCCGGTGCGAACTCGTTCGGCCGACGGTCCGTTTTGAGGCGGCTCAGTTGTCGCCTCGTTTGCCGGAGCTCGCTGTGTTGAGGACTAGCCTGTCTCTAACACCCGCGTGTCGATTTGTGACCGTCATTGGCTGGCTGTCACTGCAAGCCCTGAGCCGGCCAGCCTCCCGCCAGAGATGCAGTGCCGTGCTGGCTGACTTCTTCGGCGAGCCGTCGCTGGCGGTCCAACATTAGCCAGGCCCTTCCCAAGACTGTGTCGCACCGCATGTCTGACAGACAGGTGTGTGACGTTCCGCATGTCTGACAGACAAGTGTGTGACGTTCCGTGTTTTTGTGTCTCCAGAAGCGGCGCCGAATCGACCGCAGCATGATCGGCGAACCTACCAACTTTGTGCACCTGGGCCACGTAGGCGCCAACGACATGCAGCAGGGCAACCGGTACCTGAACCAGCTGCAGAACCAGATGTGCAGCAAGGGCCAGTACCAGACCACCGGCCCTGTCCGGGTCAACTCCTGATAGACAGGTACGTGACGGCTCAGCTCTGGGCACCGGCAGCGATGCCCAGAGTCGCATAACACCGGCAGTGGATAGACGAACGCAACGCTCTCGTGGCGGGACACGTGATGGGTCACATAACACCTGCAGCGGACACACGGACTTGTCGCTCCTCTGGCTAGGCACGTGATGGGCCACATAACACCTGCAGGGGACAAACAGACGTGTCGATCCTATGGCTACGCACGTGATGGGTCACATAACACCTGCAGGGGATAGACGGACATGTCGTACCTACGGCTAGGCACGTGATGGGTCACATAACACCTGCAGGGGATAGATGGACATGTCGCACCTATGGCTACGCACGTGATGGGTCACATAACACCTGCAGGGGATAGACGGACATGTCACACCTATGGCTACGCACGTGATGGGTCACATAACACCTGCAGGGGACAAACGGACATGTCGCACCTACGGCTAGGCACGTGATGGGCCTCATAACACCCGCAGCGGACAAACGAACGTGTCGCTCCGGATCGGTTGGTGCGTTGGGGCTTGGCTCTGTGCATCGGTAATGCAGACCAGGTCCTGGTGGTGGTGGTGACCGGGGATTGGCCTGCAAGAAATGTCCCTGACGGATGGCTGCCCTGGGTCGTTTGACACGAGCAGCTGACTGTATCGTATTGTGTTACATGAGGTTGCCGCAGAGTACGCGCCTGAGCGTGGCGAAATGGTCTTATAATCCGACTGGTCTGCCTATGCTGAAGCCGGAAACACGCGAGCGTAAGACAATGTTGTCTTAGTCTCATCTGGTTCCAGCTATCACGAGCGACAAATGGAAACCATGACAGCTGTTTTGAAATAGGACTGTGTGTTCCCTATATTTGAACACATGTTCACATCGCCCTAACACGATCAATCACAGCCTTCTTTCTCGCCGATGGGACACCACGTGGTTGAAAGTCACCCCAACATCCACACTCCGTCGAGCTGTCTAATTATAATAGTCCGACATTTCCCAATGCGTCTCGATTGATATGCCGATTTCCTGGCCCTTGTGAATATTTTTGTGATGTAACGGTGCCCATCACTAGCGGAGAGCCATGCGAACAGGTGGCATGGCAGAACCTGATCGAGCGCCGTCTAATGGCCAATTGTTAACAGTGAGCTTGCGTTTGGTGCGGCCGCCGTCACACTCGCCACACCACGTTCTCCACCCACTGCGTCGGTCCGTAACCACCAAGCTAGACGGCTAGCCAGTTGGCTGTTGTGGCCATGGCAGGAACGTGTTTCTTGCATCATCATCGTGCTGGTGTGCGGCCGAGCACACGGCGCGCTATTCTCCTTGATACACTTCATGACGACAGCCTCGTTCGTCAGCATACCCCGATCCTGTCGTTCCCTATAGGGTTCCTGTTCTGTCACGCACTATTTGTGATCATTGGGAACGCCGCATGTACGGTGGACGCAGCCGTGGTCCCTTCCACTGCCATCGCAACAGGCCTCTTCGCACGCCGTCCTTTGTTACTTCCGAGATAAACTTTCACTCGGTACGAGTGTGAAGCCCCGAAATGGGCCCATTCCACACGTTCATTTGCGCAAGCGCGGCTGCGGCGGCGCCGTCGCGTGTGTCTGGCGGGCCCCTGGGATGGCGTCGCCGGTCACTGTCCGCCGCCGCCGCCGGCCGACAGCGGCGGTCCGGGCACGCCCCGGCCAGTGCCCGCCGCCGCCGCCGCCGTCGCCGGCCGACAGCGGCGGTCCGGGCACGCCCCGGCCAGTGCCTGCCGCCGCCGCCGCCGCCGCCGCCGCCGCCGCCGCCGCCGCCGCCGCCGCCGCCGCCGTCGCCGCCGCCGTCGCCGGCCGACAGCGGCGGTCCGGGCACGCCCCGGCCAGTGCCCGCCACCGCCGCCGCCGCCGGCCGACAGCGGCGGTCCGGGCACGCCCCGGCCAGTGCCCGCCGCCGCCGCCGCCGCCGCTGTCGGTCCGGGCACGCCCCGGCCACCGTCGCGGACGCCGGCCGCACTCACCACTGACAAATGTGGCGGGGCTCCCGGCGGGCCAGACTCTCACGGTCAGCCGACGCACCGGAACCGAGCACAATTACCGGCCGGCGTGGCATTGTTATTTTGGTGCCGTGTGCGCCGCGGCCGGCGACGGCCTGTGCCGAGGGGTTCTGCTGATCAGACGCTTCAGATGAGGTGACCGTCCTCAGGAAACGGACTGTACTCATGCTACGGGCAGAATGGTCTGTGTCGGAGGCTGCTCTTACAGAGGTTACGTGTTGCCACGAGAAGACGAGATGATAAGTTGCGGACTTCTCTTTTCTTTTCCGCAGATTTCTCCGGCCGACGAGACGACCAGAGACTATTTACCTGGTAGCTGCTTGAATAATTCCAGCGGAGGCGCCGCTGGTTGAGGAAGTGTTTAAAAATTCGATCTAGGTGAAGGCCACAAAAGCAAACTCATTCAACAGCTATCCCTCAGTCTTTCCGTCTTGTGGCAACCTCCGACGCCGTGACAGCGTTGACCTCAGGCCGGTGGCGAGCTGGTGCTCAGTGCCCGCTGCCGTGACAGCGTTGACCTCAGGCCGGTGGCGAGCTGGTGCTCAGTGCCCGCTGCCGTGACAGCGTTGACCTCAGGCCGGTGGCGAGCTGGTGCTCAGTGCCCGCTGCCGTGACAGCGTTGACCTCAGGCCGGTGGCGAGCTGGTGCTCAGTGCCCGCTGCCGTGACAGCGTTGACCTCAAGCCGGTGGCGCGGTTGGTCTGAAGTCTTCGCTCACTGGGAGCGCTCCGTAAACAGCTCCGCCTACACGGAAATTCACCGCCGAATCCCAGCAGGAACCAGCAGGAACGGCTGCGTTGTGAAACTGCGTTTTCGCCCAGTCAGGGTCGCGCCGCCCACCCGCCATTGGGGGCCGATGTGTTTACACGGATGCTGGGTCGGCGCGGAGGAGCCGGGCTGCACCGTGCAAACAGCGGTCACCTTCGCCCCGCCCCGCCCCGCCCCTGGTGAGGGAGATGGGATGCGACCGGTGGTCAGTGGGTCAGGACAGTGGCGCATGCTGGCGGGCTCGCCTGGTGCCACACGTATTTTCTTCGGCTTACGTCTTCAAGAGAAGTCAAAGGAAGTGGAGACCCAGGATGTGCAGATTGCCATTGTGTAGATACACTGACTGAATGACGGGGCTTTGTCGCTGCTAGTTAGGCCGTAGCCTTTACGGGTGTTCTAAAATGCACCGTGTAAGGAACGGCAGAAGCGTAAGCCTGGCACTACCATTGACAGATGATGCCGACAGCCCGTCGTCCCCTTGATCTGTAATGTCAACGGTAACGCAGGGAAACGACGGTGTGGTTTCATACGTGTGCCGACAATGTCACCGGCACGTTTGGACGCTGCCAGTTTCCATCACTGTTGTCGCAGCGCGTGCGTGTTACGCTCCGCCTCTGCCTCGTCTGTGACATTGCCGCCGCACACGAACACGCTGTCTGCGTCAGCCGTTCGCCGCAGCCGTCACCCCGTGCGTCTGCCCCCCTCATCCCCCTCCCCTCCCCGACTTGGCAGGGTGGGCCACGCCGGGAGCAGCAACCTCTGCTGCTGGTGACGACAGCGAGGGGTGGTGACGCCGCGTCCGCTGTCGCCTCGCGAGCCTCGTCGTCTCGCCCGCGCCCAAGTTTACAAACAGCTTGCGATGAAAATTGCCTGGCTATGAATGTGGAAGGGGTGGGACTCGGAAACATAGGAATGGGTGGCTACGGGCACTTTCCGGTGGATTACTGGCGCACCTCTGGGTCGGACGGCTGTGAGGTCTTCTAGTGAAATGTAGTAGGTACATTCGTCGGCATCGTGAAGGTAGTTCCTCGTTCTAATCTCCCCTTAACGCTGATGTAAAATATCCAGCCTTACAAACGCCTCAAAACACACATGGTTCGCTTAAGATAGCGCGTGGTAGTCTGTGGTATCGATTCCCCCCCCCCCCCCCCCCTCCACACACACACACCTTTGCCGATGTTATTGGCCGTTTCTCCCCTGTCAGCATTAGTTTGCCGATGTGATTGGCTGCTTCTCCTCTGTCACATCAGTTTGCCTGCTATCGCTACGACGTCTGGTCGTTGGGCTCTAGACCTGTTTGCAAGCCATGAGCTTCAGATTTGTTTTTGCAAGTTGAAAGCTTTTACTTTGTCATGCTTATGGAAACCACCTAGCTGTTACGTATTGCTGATATTGCGACGTTGCAGAAAGGCGCCGCCTGATGAAGCAGATTCGGTCTACAAACCCTGAAGGTATTAGAGCACATTTCCTCAAGAAATCGCCCTAAATGTGACTGAAACTCTCCAGACGATCAGTGAGATCAAATATCAGATCAGCTGCGATCAGTGATAGCAAAGATATAGGTCCGTTGGAGAACGCGGCTGGCCGAACAGCCGAAGTCCCACATTTTCCGGCCGGTTGGCATGACGAGTCGCTCCGGCTGCGGCCTCGCCTCAAACAAATTATCCGCCGTGCATGCAACTGACGCGGCGCCATGTGTGCATGGTCTGCCTTTTGTGACGTGTGATGTGCACCAGAGCTGCGCGCTGCCGTTGGGGGCACGCGACAGCGCAGTTTTTGCGCCTTGTTTGGCCGTGATCCGCAGACGGCGCGCTTGGAATGCCAACGTTTACTCTCTGCAATCATTTCCAGGCACTTAAACCAGCCGGCTTTGGTGCGTGTACACAGTGCCGCGTTTTAAATGTTGGGGACCTGAACTGTCTTATCATCACCTGCGTGGAGAGCGTCTCGCTAGGACCGGCGCGCTCTTGAGGGTCGAGTTTCAATGTCGTCTTGCGCAAGGGGCGCTTTG